CTCATGAATCAGGTTTCGATCTGTTATCACAGTGTTAATAAAGATTAAAAATACATTTTGAAACAATTAGTAGACATTTTCCATGACATGGTATATTTTTAGGTCTTTTTTAACTTTTAGATATATTTTTCGGTCATTTTTCTGGATTTTTTCCTGTCATTTTTAAAATATTTTTAGGTCATCAAAATTCGGACCCCGCTGATAAAATTCTAATGGATTTGATCAGCGCATTGGCAGGCAACATTGTACTGGGGTTCTATATTCATGCTCCATATGATCGAAATCGTTACAACGGTCTGGAAATGTATATAATGAGCACACACTCACTCCTCTCTCTTTCTCTATATATAAAGATATTAAGTGCGTCACAATGTTGTTAAATGTGCTGAGGTCGTCATTTGTCCATATACTGAGATTCATAGCGCCGTTCCTATTCGGCAACATTTTTGACATCTCTCTTCGGCAGCCAATCTACGTGTGCAGGCGTACGCTATCCCTTACTGTTGAGGCTGAAGCTGTGGTTTCGAAGCTATTAATGACTTTTAAATAATGAGAATAAACCATTGAAATATAGAGTAATGGCTTTAAGTATAAAAGAAAGTACAAACTTTCAAATCAAGTGAAATATTTTCCTTCATTTGATCGAACTTTGTAAAATGCAAAACATTTAGCTGTCCTGCGTCGAAGTTGCTTTCTGAAAATCTACGTCCAGAATGGTTCTGGCTTTCAGCCCATATTTTATACAACGAGAAATACAAATATTTGCCCTAGAAGCAAGTATGAAAGCTAAACAATAATATAAAAGCTGGCCCTTCATTGTTTTATTCAGGCTGGAAGATATATTTCAATTGTTGATGATTTATAATGCATTTTCTTGCGAATATTTATAGGCAATTTCATATGGTTCACATGTTAAAACTTCGTTTCATACAATTTACAGAATAAATAACCTCTGTCATCAAATACTTACAAGTAAGAAATATCTGAAGACGCATTTTAATTACACGATAAATAAATTAATGACTCCTTTTTCATTTCACTGTTAGCGACAGTCTCACAGATTTCCCCCACATGCCAAGTTATGTGCTTTCAGCAGACTTTTTTGGTCTTTCTTCTACAGCCTAGTATATCACTGCTGATGCAACCAAGGCTTAATGTATGTGTAAGATTATTGGAGACAAGAGCTTTGAAACCATCTTTATTGCTGCATATATACCCCAAAAGAAAGCAGCTCAACTTCCCTCATTCCTTTTTAAAACTCATCTTAGAGCGAAAGAGGGAGGTCAAAACATGAGCAGAGCAAAAGATCAAACCGACCTCTTCCTTCCCCTTCATCCTCCTCCTTTAAGATCTCTTTGACTGTCTGCAGCACTTCACTCTCCCTCAACCCCTTAGAAAGCCTTTGTTTCTTGCTCACTCTACACAAAAGAGCTGGGGATGAAAGACTTATTGATGTAACCTTAGTCTTTGAAGTTTTCAAAGCCTTGACACACTCACAAAGTTCTCTTTCCTTCTCCTCCTCCTTGAATTGGTAATAAAAAGAAAAGTGGGGGCCTTTGTACCCACTACACTTTCTTTTTTAAACCATGTTCTCCTGTTATATTTTATAATATAATCTACAAAGACAGTACCTGCTCTTATTTTCTACCTGAAATTCATTTAACATACTATCTCTCCATTTGCATCTAGGCTGTAATACTAATTTTTTTGTTGAAAAATCAAAGCTAAAGCTGAAGCAGAAAGTCTCAGTTGTGTTCCTTTGGAAACCATACTATGTAAGATATCTTTCTGGAAGATTATATGCAAAATTCATTGTTTACATAAAAAAAATGTTCATTCCACCCTTATATCCACTGCATATCACTGAAATGAATACAAAGTATTATAAGTTCTTAATTTTTAATGAATTGTTTTATGTAGCGCAATGATGTAGCATGAGCATATTGACGAGATTCAAGGTTCTCATGGCAGTGACCAGACAACACGGTATACATTCTGGAGGAGAGTAATCTTCAAAGCATATTCCAGATACTAGTAGCCCGTACTAAGTATAAAATTATTTGTACTGCAAAGCAACTGGTGCTGAAAATGTAAACATTTTTCTATTGTTTGGTGTAATATTTTATATAGAACTATATATTCTATGATTACTGTAATTCCTTGACATGACTTTTTTTTTTTAATTTATGGCCACTTTCATTTACAGGGTGGCAGGAAATTTCATGCTGGTTGAAAACTGAAGGTAAAAATGACCACCGATGATTTTCAAGATAGGTAAAAAAGCTTATTATATTTGCTGCCTTCTGTGTGCCTAATATGGTCAGACTGGTGAAATATCACATTTATGGTAAATTTTAGAGCGGCCTGCAATTAATACTTCCTCCTTCAAAGCACTCCTTACAGAATTTGAAATAGTTAATTTCATGCTCGTCCTTTGGGTACAAAGATTAAGTTTTAATTGAAACAAACAGGAAACTGAAAATATTTATGCAAGAAACACGTATATCCGATCCGCTGCGAGACACTCCTTACTCTAAAAATTCGAATACAACTCTCAATGATCTTATTTCGAAGAGATTAGTTTTTACGTGGAGATTTAACTCATTCGTATTTCGACAACAGTATAATCACTATCCTTGAACTTACGAGAACTACCTCACTAATTACAGAAATGTCTGTGGAGGACACTTTTATGTCCAAAAAATAATATAAATCATAGCAGCGAAGAAGTAATAGAAGTTCCTGATACTCTTGATGGACAGGGTAATCTCCCTTAGTTCAGACCTGCAAGATATCCGGCAAATATGAACGAAGATATTTCTCAATGAAGTACGATGTCATATCTATTTTCCGATTCTGTCGAGGTGGCTAAGGACATTACATACGCGCCAAAATCTATCTGATCATTCTTTCGCTGAACACACTTTCAATAAACATAATGCACATTAAGTTTACTCACGTGCGTCACATGATCTTCATGGGTAGAGTATGTTGCCGTCATTCGTAGAGGATCGTATTAAACCTGAAAATTCCTTGCTTTGTCAACCCATATGGTTTCTTCGCAAACGCCATATTCCATTACATAAACACCGGCTTTCGAACATGTGACAGTATTAAATACACCTCCACAAATGCAACATATTAACAGATGATTCTGGTCGGTGCAATACTCTTACAGAATTAACACCTGTATAAATCCATTTGATATTTCAATGGGAAATTGTTAAAAACAAACGTCAAAAATACCTAACCTCTACAACTTCAAAAGTTTCACACAGCTACTGATTCTGTGACAGTAGCCTCTTATGCTAAGATTGCAAGCTTGATACAACAGAAGTATGTATGATCTGTGGTATGCACCAGCTGCACTATGCAGTGCTGCTACCTGGAGCAAGTGTTTCCAGCAGAATTTATCCATGAAAACATAGTCTGTCAAAATGGTCAAAACACCTAATCTCTTCATCCCCTCCAGCATGCAGTAGAGTATCATAATGGTAGTTTTCCTGTTCAGCGCTAAACAAACATACATTGCTTTCAGTCTGTACTTGACCTATTATAACAACCAGTGACAATGATATGGCCCTCAAATGCAAATAAACATGGGCAGACACTTCATAATTTTCACTAATCACTATTATTTTGACACTATCACCATACACACCTTTTTTCCCCATGTACATTTTGTCATCTTTTCTTGTATTAATACGAATTCTTCATTGTTTCAAATATAAAAAAAACACGCGGATCATAAAAATTAAACAATTTCATCTCTACCAATACATCTACCGTATTAAAATATAAGATGCCCTTAAATTTAAGACATATCCAGTTTTTGAATGTGGGTGAAGGTAAAGTTGTTCCTGTCCTTAATTTGGCACTATGCCATGAAGGCGTGTCAGGCAGTGGATGTATGAATCCAAATTTTCTTGACCTCGGCACTAGCTGGAGGTGAGTCCTCAGCTTCACGCCCTTGCCACTCTACCCCTGGTTGCCAGTGGATAGGAGGCTGGGTGGACCTAAAGCTGGTCTCGGGCAATATGGAGACAAACGGGGAAAAATGTGTCTTACATTCAAAGTAATACAATATCTTTGTTGGTCCTCTCCTCTACATTCAATAACATCACTGAATATGCATGCTATCAAAAGAACACTGTTTCTGACAAAGGTTAAGAATGCAAAGCCATCTGAAGCACAGGTACCTGGCACTGCCAAGAAGTCTGTAATTGCTGACAACATTGTGTGGTCACACAAAAATATCCAACCCACTGAAATGAAGAATCAAGAATACAAGAATCCTGTTGAGGTTACAGATCTAAAAGGAAGACCATGCAGTACTAATATGAATAAAACTGGGAATAAAATTATTTAGACAAAAGAGTAAAGCTGGATAATAAATGGTGTTTTAACTGGTCCAGGTTGAGCACTGTTAAATTATAAAATAAACAGAGATAACATAAATATGAGCTTCATGGAAATGTGAATTCAAACAATCTTATACACTACGTTTGTGATAACTACATACATATCAAGTGTCCAGCTGGATCAGCCTGTTGATTTCAGATTAAACCTCTCACAATTTACAAAACCAGTATATATATATATATATATATATATATACACACACACACATTATGTTTTTAATAAAAGATAACATCTTCCAAATCTTAACAAATTAATTCACAATGCATAGCAAATAAGTTACCACTCATCAAGGAGTGACAGTGACAAAGTTCTGAAATTCTTTCCCCTTGACAGATGACATAAGCTGATAGAACTGGATAGACTGTACGAGTATATGCCACATTTTTATACAGTGTGGGAACATCCCAAATACTAACACACAGTTTTGCTGGTCTAACAGGCAGCACTCACTCCTAGTCAATATCACATTGCCGCACGTTAAGTCAAAGTCAAAGTCATGTTGCAACTGACAGTCAGTCAGTCTGTCTGTCTTGGTGTCGAGCCCCATCTGGGGCTCATGACCAGATGTTTTCTTCTTTGTGAAAGTTGCTGTCCTGTCCATTTGGGGCGCCCTCTCTGACGAGAGGGTGGGTCTGTCATTTGTCAGTCTTAGTCAGTCTATTGCCAGTATTGACATATATTTACAATTTAATTCTTGTCTTAATTACTATTTCTATGTACAATAATTACAAGGCCTCTGTCAATCCAGGGTTTGTACAGCAGATTATGCCATATTTCTAGTAAACTGCGGCATGTTGCTGCCACCACTTGTATTTATATAGCACTCGATGTCCAGCCCACCTGTAGATCATCATGTGCGCCAGCCAATCAGCGCTCACAATCACAACTGCAAGTTTAAGCTCCGCTCAGCAAGCATGGTATAAAAGCGGAGCCCAAAGCTCGCAATCATTAGTGATCACATTCAGTTCAGAGCGATCAATCATAGTCATCAGCTCTTCACTGCACCAGACAGCTAACGTAGCTGCCGCAGCTCTCCAGCAACCGCGCTCTGCCACTAGACAGCTGATGTAGCTGCCACAACTCTCCAGCAACCACGCTCTGCGACCAGGCAGCTAACGTAGTTGCTGCAGCTCTCCAGCAACTTTGCTCTGTGACCAGCCAGCTACCGTAGTTGCTGCAACTCTCCAGCAACCTCGCTCTGCTACCAGGCAGATAACACAGTTGCCGTAACTCTCCAACAACCGCACCGTAGACAGCTGTTCCTACAGGTGCACGCAACAGCACATTACCGGCCGGACAAACCAGCTGAACGGCTGTAAAGACTTAAGTCTACTACAAAGGAGAAAATTCTACCAGGGCACTCACGGTGGAACAAACTGCCCTTTTCAGGGCTAGCCAACTTCTGACATTCCATATAGCTTCACAGCTATTCTGTACATCTAATTTATACAATTTAATATATATAACTGTTACAGATTTAAGTGGTTGTCTTTTAGAACACTGACAATCCCACAACAGTGTAGTAAAATCAGATTTATACATGTTAACCCTAAAAAATTTGTACCTTTCCAATTTTCATAAATGTAATTATGAAACTTCTTACTTTTTCCAACATCAGGGCAACATCACTCTTTGAATGAGTGACTGTACAACTTTGTAGCAGCATCTATTCACCTACAATTTTAATTACTACGAAATGCTTACAGAATACTGTATATGTAGAGATGATCACTTTTGTGTTACTATCACACACACACACACACACAAAAAATTGAAATTACCTTTGTAGCTGGATTCCATAAACAGAAACATTTCTCTGGCAACAGTCATCACAGTTTCACCACTCTGTACTACAGTGATGTAGCTTAATCTGCTTCCATTTTGTTGAAATACTGGTATTGAACTGTAATAAGGAGCAATGCTCTACAACCCAATGTTAAAACTCGTTCCACAGTACGTATTCTAAACCTCAAACAGCACTTCTTTCCATGTTAAATCCTTGCCAGAAAATAAAAGTCATGATGTGTCTCACTAAACTTTGAAACATGCTAAGGAAAATAACTGCAGTTATGAAACAGAAGAAACATGATGGAGACAACTACAGCATAAGAATATTCATAATTTGTGCTGTTCACCAAATATTAGGTTAGCAAATCAGGGATGATGAGATGAGTGATATATGTAGCCTGTTCACAGAGATGAAAAATGCAAACAAAATTTTGGTTTGAAGGGAAGAGACAATGTGAGACCTAAGCATAGATGGGAAAGATGATATTAAAATTAAAATTTAAAGAAATATGATGTTGACTGAATTTGACTCATTGAGGACTGTGGTCAGTGGCAGACACTTGTGAAATTTCAGGTTACATAAATGGAAGGAAAATTCTTGACCATACGAGTAACTATTACCTACCAATGAAGACCTTTGCTCCATGTAGTCCTACTACAATTAAAAGTTCAAAAAGCATGACAGAAAGGCTGGCTTATATGTAAAATCATGACACTTTACAGAAAAATAAGATTTGTTACCAATAGACTGCTGATCCTTAAATGTTAAGTGCTACTTCATTAAATGACATACTAGCACAAAGACATCATCATCATCAGTAATCTGTCAGACGACAGGTCCACAGTCTCTTCCAAAACAATTCCTCCACTTAATGCGATCTAGAGCTTTCTCCTTCAAATGACAGTATCCTCTTCTGTCCCCAAGGTCATACAGCATCTTCTTACATCTTCTTCCTCGTCTTCTTGTCACTTCTATCCGCCCCTCTATCTTTCCTTCAATAACTTCCTTTAGAAGGCAGTTTCTGCGTAAAACATGACCAATCCAACTAGCCTTCCGTTTTCTTATTTCGTGTAGGATATTCCTCTGCTCACTGACTCTAATTAACACTTCTTCATTTCTCACATAATCGGTCCAACTGAATAGCAGCATAAATTTTCTGGACTTGGCATTATATGAAAAGAGTTACCAGTTTTATGCTCTTCATGACATTAAGTGTTGGCAGAGCTGAGTATAAGGAGAAGTTTTTTAGACAAATTCTGCAAATTGTGAATGGATAATCACACTATGTATTAAACTAGTTACCTACCCTGTCTCCCTGACCTTCCACAGTGTTCCTGTTAACCCTCTAAAGTACAATGCTTAATATAAGTACAACCTACTTTAACAGTACCAAATTCTACATTTTGCTTACACATTGCATTTATGGGGTTCCATATAGTTCTCAAAATAAAGCGCAATTATTTCCCTAAACAACAATAGCTAAATGACCTCTGTAATGGAACTAAAACGTACTTTCTGTGAGGTAGGAACTGAATTTTTAAATCAAATATTATGTTTCTGACATTAACAATCATCCTGTTTTTGTCTAAAACACCGTTCTGTTTTTATTTAGAAACACATTGTTTCAGAGACTGGATTCTGTTTCCTTATTCAGGTAAAACCTACTCAGTTGGGCCCAATCGATAGAGCTAGTCTCTATCTCCACACACCAGTACCAACACCTGATAGGTTATACATGCCAAGCATAGCATAAACATCTGTGAGAGCTAAGACAAAACATTAAAATATTAAGAACTCCATGTGTATGAGTTAAATAAAAACAGGATGGTTTTTTAGACAAAAGCAGTACCTTGGATAATGTCCAGACACATATTTGTATTAATGTGTCATCGTCACAAACTTTTAGTTCTTATGAATTACAGTCAACTCTCAATTATCCGGGGGTGGATTAACCGGGGCTACTGAGGCTTTTTTGAGGCTTATATGTTGTTTAATATTCATTCACTTTTGTTTCACATGGCGAGTTGTAACACTATTTTCACACTAGTGTGAACCGAGCTCTGCATTCTTTGGTCCTGTTATGCTAACACAATGTTCTAGGGTAGGGGTGAAAGAATGCAAGGATTTGTGGAAAGTTTCGAGGACAGATATATCGCCCCAGTTAGTATCTTTGTATCGATCTTCAAGTGCGTTAGCAAAATGTCAGGGTGTAAAAGGAAGCGTGTTGTGTTAAGTATTCAACAAAAAAGGAAAATGCCGCAAAAAAGTAAATGACAATATTAATTTCTTTTTTAAGTGTTAAGTGTGAATATTCGTAAAAAATGTTGGATGTTGTTGAAGACTGTGATTGAAATAATTAATTCATATTTCAGTGTAATGTAAAAAAAGTATTAAATCGGCCATGAGATGACATAAAAATGAGGTTGAATAAATTTAAATACAGGTAGGCCTATAATATTATGAAGGTACAGTATTACAGTACTACTTTTAATAAAATTTGTTTTAACCGGGTTTTCAATTAATCGTGATTTCCATCCCCACCATTATCCCGAATAATCAAGAGTTGACTGTATTAAATGTTATTTAGACGATTTTAAAACTTTAAAGAATATATGCAATTCAATACTAACATTCTTGAAGTTGGGGGACTCACTAGAAACACGGTCTGAATGAGATATAATCCAAAATATACAATTAATATGCATAATGTGCTTAGCATAGGATCCACAGTAAAGAGAGTTGACAAGTGACAGAATGCTTTCTGTATTGTTAGGACTTTAAAGAGGCACTTCCATTTAACTTCATATTTCATTACGTTTATAAATTAAATTAATAAATATAAACAATAAAAGCTTAATTAATGTGTTATTCACAATGCCACTCCTGTCCACAATGTGTCAAAAAATGACTATATGTTAGAAAAGAGTCTACAATTCAGCCACTATAAACTGTCAGGCATGCATTTTCTTTTTCCATTTTACCAGCACTTTGTACATGAATTAAGCACATACTTAGATAATTTAAAAATACATTTTAGTGGGTGAGTGACCGTCAGCATCTCAAGGATTACTTTTCTCCTTGAAATTATTTACTTGACATCTACATACTTACAGTAAAAGGATTTCACATATACACATTAAACAAAATGGTGCATGAAATTCTGTATCTGAACGAATAGGAATTTTGCAAAACTCTTTACAGTGTGAATGACATACACAGCAATGGTTTTGCATTTTAATGCTGCAACCGAATGCAATAAAAAAAGAAAAAGAGACAAAAATTAATGTTGTAAAACAGAGCACATGGTGTTCAAGAATTAATCTTTCAGTTCCTTGTGCAATGTCTTATTTGATCAATTAATCTTAAATGTTTAGCATTTGCACCTGTCATACTGGAAAACTTGTCCCAGGAAGAAGATAAAAATTAATTACAATAGGGAACAGTTAATTCTGAATTGTGATTAATAGAGGAAGAAACAAAATTTTGTGTATTTATGAACAAATCAATCAGCCACTTCATTACATACAAACGCTGTATGGCCTGATAAACTCTATTTTATATGACTGTGGTCCCACATTACAAAAATTAAAAGCAAGTCTCCAAACTTCTTTTCCAACCTGAAATTACACATAAAAAAACTCCGTGGCCTGTAGTCCGCAAGCAAACTATACCGACCGAGAGACCACAGCTTGTTGGCAAAGTTTGTGCCAACTTTAGCAGATAGAGGGTGTCACGTGGTCAGTGCAACGGATCCCCACGGTGGTTAATCTCAGTTTTCTAGACTGGAGCTGCTATTTTTCCGTTCAAGTAGCTGTGAATTATCCTCACAAGGCTGAGTGGACCCCATTCCAGACCCACTACTTCTCAGAAAATCTGGTAACTCCAGGAATCGAACCCGGGACCTGTGGATCTGTAGGCACAAACTCTGACCACCAAACCACACAAGCGGTCCCTGAAATTACACATACTCATAGTAATACATCACTAAAAAATATGCAACTTAAAATATTTTTTGTGGAATGTAAAACAACATGGCAGCGATGCAAATATTTTCATTTAGACTTCAGATTGACAGTATAAACCAATAAAATTTCAGAATCAGAAACATTACACTCTGAAACTAGAATATAAACATAACTACAAATTATGTATGACATACTGTTTACAAGCCAGCAATTACCAAATGGCAATGGTGTGAACCTTTGACATAATATTTGACTAATTTAATGTATACAGAAACTGTAAATCAGCAGAATACACTCATCCCACAAAGGAAGAAAAATGCTGCCGATAATATGAATCATATTATCAACACAATTAAAAGCCATTAAAAACATACTGACTCGAACAAGATCAATCTTACAATCATCTGTTCAATAGCTCATCATGTTAACCCATCAGTTGATTTGCAGTTTATTGTTGGACTATAAAATTACATTACCTAAATACAGAATTGATGACATAAGTTTTGTAGGACTAGAACATAAATTAAATTTAAAAAGGCAAATACATAAAGCCTAAAGCTAAATAGTGCTAATGAAATCATAAAGTTGCTTTTGAAGAATGTTTCTGTAGTGTGAAAGTATGCCTTGCCCATTCTACTTGGAACTCCTTATTTCATATTCAAATAATAATGATTTTGAGCATTTAGAACTGTACTGCTTTCCAAACCCCCAAGTACAAAAGTATGACTCTTACGGTGGTTAACAAAAAATGTCTTTGTAAATAACATTTCTTCCTGTTTTCTTCTTGTTCCTTCAGAAGAAGATACAACTTAATTGAAACTACCTAAAGTAGACAGGTAAACAAAATTGTACATGACAACAGAAGAATGGAACTAGATAAAAAGTCCAGTTTTTTAAATATTTTTCCTTGAGACTTATTCCCTGTCACTGGAAAACTATGTCTTAATTATAATTATGCCTTATTTTCAATGAAGATGGCATTCTACCACTAGAGAGAACCAATGCTGTTCCTGGAATAATTTAAATTTTCCTACCTCTCTTACCAGCTTATATCATTGTCAGAAGTACATATGACTGACTTTAATTTGAATCTGTTTTTGCAAAGAACAAATATCTACAAATTATATTACTTCACTAAGGTAACAAAATATTGTTTATCCTTTGTACATTCCTCTGGTATACTGAGCCCCTGTTGTGGTAAGGCTTAGATGTTCTCATTTCCTTGCAAAACATCTTGCCTGCTTAATTTTTCACGCTGCTATTACATATTTTTCTATATTTCAAATGTAACATTTGACAATACAGAGTTAATAATACTAAATTCTTATGTAGTCATAGATTTTACATCAAAATTGTAATTGTAAAGTGACCACTAAAAACAGTTAAAATTGACCATTTGCGTGACTAATTAAGCACTATGCCATGAAGGCATATGGGGGAGTGGATGTATAAATCCACATTTTCTTGACCTGTGCACCAGCTGGAGCTGAGTGGTCAGCTTCACACCCCTGCCGCTTTACTCCCGGGGAAACAGCCCCCAGTACCCATTGCATAGGAGGTTGGGTGGACCCCAGAGCCGGTCTGAACAATGTGGAGGAAATTCTTGACCTCACCAGGACTTGAACTCTGACTCCTTGGTTGCCTAGCCCGTAGCCAGTCGCTATACCAACTACACTATTCCAGATAAAGTGATTACTAAAGATAGAAGTTTATATTTATGTAATATACAGTAGGTTATGGAAGTAATAATTCCATAAAGAGTTCTTGTAATTTACTGTAATTTTGCGATTGACACTATATTCCAGAGAAAGTATTCCTTCAGTGCAATGTTTCTCAACTGGTATGTGTCTAAGCTAGCTTCAACATTTTGAATTCAAGTACATTTATAAGCATAAAGAGTGGCAATAGGGGTGAAATATTATTCATCCCTGCATTTCTGTTTCTTTGTTAAACTGTCACGACCTCAATGTTTTTCGTGTTTCTTTATGAGTATATTTGTTATATACCGACTTTTCTGAATAGTCATCTTCATACTTTAGCTTTGATACCTGTCATTTACTATTCATCTCTTATCTTTTATGATCTTTCAAACATAATATAAATGAAAAGCATGAAGAAGTATGAACAGTAACATTCAAACACACTTTACAGCAGTACATGATTTGGTGTGCTTTGAGATATTGAACTACATTTTAGTATCCTGCCACATGAAAAAGGTTGAGAAACACTGCTTTGGCACAGCTGATGTGTCTATGATCCATATATCCACAAGACTATGAAAAACTGGGAAGTGATCTGTCACATAGTTAGGAAACTATTTACTGCACTGAAATTAAACACGTGCTTTAAATATATGAAATTTCTCTTTACAATGAAGTTTGCAGGTAAAGAATGAGGCCATTCTGACATTTCCTCTAATCATAAGACTTGAGGCTTGGGGTTTTTGTGATGATTTTCTGAGTCCTATGTTTGAATTCTGGGAAGAGATTAGATCTGGTGGGTCTGTTTACCAAGCACTGTCAGCCAAAGAGGTCAGTCATCATCAAGTACACCTTTTCTCCATAATATAACATCTGAAAACATAAAAACGTGATTTAGGCCTACCCCCAAGTCTGAGGTCACCATGAAAATTCTGGCACCTATTGCTTAACAGTTTCAGAAGTAAGATGCAGGTCAGGACAGTGAATTTCATTTAACGGTATATATACTGATGTGTGATGTAGTTTTATATTGACATGAGTAATACTAAGGATTAACTGGAATATTCTGGAACATTAAGTTTTTATTCAATGCAGTATGGCATCAAATTATGGAACTGTATCCCCAAGATTCAGAGTTTCACAAGGGAGATATGTGCCTCATATACTTAGCAAGTTCTTTTTCAAATTTTGTTCTCCTTTCATCAGTGTTTACATAGTTTAGATAGTATATCATTTAATGGTACTGCTTAATAAATATAAGCAACTGTCTGCAATTACTTCACACATAAATGAAGGGAACTGTGTCTAATAATCAATAAAAACTGCTATGTGTTATGTCATAACCTGTACTGACCTGTACAGATAAATATAAGTGAAGACAGAAACAGTTTTTTTATAGCATTCTATTTCAGAATTATGAATCTTCTCAAGGAGATCAAGAGGCTATAACTTTACCAATGATAACTTAGTGGTTACTGTTTGGAGTGTCTGTGCAATTGTGACAGTACTCAGCCACTAACAGTAGTGAGTACCAGGAATCTTCCTGGGGGTAAAGTGCAACTGTCATGTAAGGCTGACAACCTCACTTCCATCTGTGAGCTGACTGTCTAGAAAAATGTTGAAGCCTCAAAATCTCACAACCCTCATCACAGGGATAGCTTTAACTTACCTCATAATGCGGCACACATGACAACACACATCTTTTATGGGATAGTAGAGGCATACACAAACACATGTCCTGGATGCCTGATCAGGTACGAGTATGGGAATTTTGTACACATTAAAAAAAAAGAGAAAAAAAGATAAATGTATAAAGAAAGAAAACAACAAAGTCCATGTGTGGATTTGGATTGAAAATTCAAATTCCTCTTTTGCAAAATACCTTCCATAACTCCATATTGTGATAGGTGCTCCAATGTATCTTACATTCTTTTACTTTAATATCATTTTGAATTATCCTATGACTAATGAAATAACTAAGTAAATATATGTCTATCTTTGAGATATCTAAGAACTGTTCTAACACTGCACATATACATTTGGTACAATCTTTACACAAAAATCTATGCACACATTTTAAATACACATTCAGGGAAGTGCCATGACTCTGCAGAATACTTATTATTCTGTATATATAAATTAAACAGGCGTTTCCCAGTATATTGCAGAGACTGGAAGTTCCATATGGCTTCCACTCCTTGACCCTCTGTCCTCTTGCTAACATCACATGTCAGGTACAGCTGCAGTCTGCTGATTCTTAGTATCCCCGAAGGCCATCAGCTGCAGTCGCATGCGGACGTGAAACTTGAGCAAGATGTCCTTTACAACCCTGACAAACAAAACTGTTTCATCATAAAAGCCTGCTACAAAAGTATGCTGCACAAAATTTACTGACATCTAATTGCAAGATAAAATGTTTACTTTATTGAGTGTAATGGCAAACTATATTTTTAAAATACAGTAGATCTATAACCAGCTCTGTATATAATAGCAGACCAATATATACAAGAAAAATATTGCTAGGTTTGAAGTTTAAAAATATAATACTTGTATCATTCAACCATACCCATATTCATATTTAATGGGAAGTTTGTTGCAGAAAAAAGTGTCAGAATAGTAAAGATTTTTCAAAAGTACATATCAGGAAAAATTTCTGTGACTGTTAGGAATTTTTTCTACTGTTCATATGGTGATCCCAACTTCATGAACAAACGATAAGTGGAACGTTGCCATTATATGTAACTCCTTCAAAAATAAGGCCAAAGATTCAGTATGGAATATTGTACTAATGTACAAGGTATGATTCAACACAGAATTTTTGCATGATCACCTCACCTGTTACAAAATATTCTACTCAATATACTATTTTTTTTTCCATTGGCGCTACAGCCCTCATTTGGGCCTAGGCCTACCTCAATGAAACTCTCTGTTTCACTTCGGTTTACTAGATCTTACACATTCGGTAGGACTCCTTGGGCGAGTAATCAGCTCGTCGCAAGGCCTCTACCTGTAGACAAACACAGAAAAACGCACACAAACATCCATGCCTTAAGTGGGATTCGAACCCATGATCCTGGCTTCCGAGCGAGTGAAGACAGTGCACGCCTTAGACCGCTTGGCTACCGTGACCGGCTACTCAATATACTATACGTGCAGCCAATCAGGAGGTGATATGGCCCTATTGCAGTTATGATGGAACTGAAAGGGAAACTGAGTTACTCATGGAGGTGGATGATTGGAATTTATAATTCAGTATGGGGCGAATGAAGTTCAATTCACATGGAAGTGGTTCACTTCAGGGTTCCTCCATCTGCACTTGACAAACGGATCTGGAAGGGTTACTTCAGGTAAAGCAGTCAACTCTGTCTCAAGTTGATGTTAATGTCAATAATTACTGACAACCTGAAGCCATACTGCTGCAGAATGAAACATCCAATTCTACAATAAACATACTCTACTGCCCATTTCTGCGCCATTTCTCAAACATGCACTTACTAAAATTACAGTCAATGATTTAGTACCATTTTGTTAATTTTACATAACAAGCAAGATAATGTAACTAACACACTCACTTTATTCCAAAACAAGATTTGATAAATTTACTTTATACTAATTTAGCCAACACTTGACTTATAAATTAACTGTGTTGAAGATAAACTGGAACATGAGAGAAACATGTCCGGCTCAGAGAAGTAAAAAATTCAGATGTACAAGGAAGTTACTTGAAAGAAGCACCATGTCTTCTTCTGGGAAGATTCAAATTTGTATACACCAAACTCCAGTGACAAGAACTTGTCTGCGAAAATTCAAATGGACTCGCTAGGATACAAAGTTTATGTGGTAGAGTCCTGTCATTTTGCTGAGCTTAAAGATAAAGAGCTAACATAAATTATAAATCTACTGTATATTAGAAAACTGCTGCATGCTAGTTGGGTTATCCCTAACAGAAAACAAATTACAAGCTCATAAATGTCAACTCTATAGAACCCCATGTTCAGAATGTTCTACAGTTTTTTGTCTTCCAAACACTGTATTACATCCAGTCACAAACAATGCAAAACAACATATTAGTCCATTCTCTAAGTAAACAATATTATTTCCAAAATTTCATTAATAAAAACATGTACCAGTAGAATAATAATAAATAAATCAATCAACGAAAATTCAATAAATTATAGAGATAAGTTTGGACCATAATAGGAGATCATCTGACATTGTTTCTATACTTACTTCATGTCAGCTGTACTAGGTAGTGGAGGAATTGCCTCTAACGCTTCATCAAAGAAACTTCTGCAACCAGAAACATACCCCACATAACGGCCTTTCAATAATCTGAACTGAATTTTAATCATATATGTAATTTCATGCCAAACTTTTAGAAACTCACTGAGCTGTTGGAGTAGTGAACAATCTGACTGTTTCCTGTACAGCCTGAATGTCAGCCCGAGCTTGCTGGTTACCCTCCACACTAAAACGAGTTACACACGACATCAAACGTGACAGTTCTTCTGCTACTGTCTCAACTATTTGTGTCAGTACACATGATACAAGATTTGGGGACACCCGATGTACCTGAAATTAAAAAAAACTCAAATAAAGTACCTCAATTTACAAAGCAGTTAACATTTAAAATGAAGACAGGAAGAGTCAAACACTACATGTTAACATATTCAGTAATAAATGTAATTTTGTAGCAGTGATCATAAAAATTGAACATACTAATAGTGACAATAGAGGCATGTGGTAGCACAGTTGGTTGAGGCACTTTACTACAAGCCAGAAAGTCATGGGTTTCATTCCCGATGAGATCACTGGATTTTTCAATTGACCTAATCCTTCCAGCTGCAGTATGGTCCTAGAGTCAACCCAGCCTCTGCAAGAAATGAGCATATACACAAACACACACATACATACATACATACACACACACACACCAGAAAAAGAAAAAATAATTTTCTTGGGCTTTCTTAAAATAAACTGCAATGAAACTGCCTATTTATTAATGTTCCCATGGCAAATTTTCTGTCAACCACAGCCTGCAAGTGAGAGAAGGGACATACATAGGCCACTTTTGCACTATAAACCATGTTATGCTCACATGCTGGCTGAGAGAGAAAGATAGAGTTTGATAACCAAGTCATAAGAAACAAAATAAAGGACAAATTACCCAACAGATAAAAATTTCCTCATTATTCAGTCATTTGCCTACCTCTGCATGCACACCAATCATGTTGGCAATGATCTCCTTGGCATAGGGTCTAATGTCTGTAGGTTTTTGTCTTGTATCCCAGTCAAATCGTCCTAGGTACATAGATGGCTCTATTGTTCCAACCAATGGATCACTTTTCTGCTCAAGGTAAATCTCAAGAATCCGTCTGTCCAGCACACTCAAAGCATTGGTAGCAGTCGCAATAGGCAATGTGGGAGATGGGAAGCCATAACGTGTGAACAGCTCTGATAGATGGGGTAACACAACCTTGGCAGTGTACTGGCAATTGCTTAATGTTGTCAGCAATTTCTGCTCCCATGCCTAGAAGACAAGAAGTTCATCTAATTACTGTTGACCAGTTAGAAAGGGACTATAANACTCATAACTACAAAGCATGCGTGCGCAACAGGTCGTTTCCGGTTATTTTTGGGTCCCCCCTTGTATATATAAGAAATGTGGCTCAGGATTTAGCAGAAAGGTGAAAACATCTGATGCAACTAATTATTATTTGCACGGAATGTTATATATTAATTATTTGCCATATCATTTACCATATTTATTTGCATAACTTACATACTCATTCCTTAGGACAAGAATTTTGGATATGTATGAAACTAAATAGATATGAATATAAATAATTAAACATGCACTTTGTGACTTTGTGTACTGCCAGCCCACTCTAATTTAAATATTACCCGTTCCTACATATGATGAGGCTTCTGGAGTAATGCAGCTAGTGTTTACATTTTGGAAATACAGAAACAGTGACCTGCTGAAGTCTGTAGGCAGGTAACCAGACATAAATCCTTGAAAGGTAGTGGGAGAAATATGATAAGCACTGCTGACAGGCAGCCTTATCCAAAATAATTCTGCCTAGGTTGGCTATGCATGAATTTGTGTCTACTAGAAAAGTTGTGAGCTAGCTACAGTATCAACTGTTGCCATAAGTCTACTAAATGATACTCACTGGACCACTACTTTCTTTCTCACGACCTCTATAGATTGCTGGAGATCCAATGAGCTGTGAGACTGCTGTTGAATGGTTCTCTTGCATCATTGCTTCATTACTGGATGCTAAGATCTCCAGTGACTGTAACAAAGACAAGTGCTGTTATAAGTACTTTAGTTTCCTGTGTCTGATGCACAGCAAGAGCTGAAGGCAAGTCTCAGACATACTAACAGCCAAATGATAAGGCAGGATGTTAAAATCAGACTCATACTACTGCAGATGGCAATATATGGCCAATCATTGGCATAAACAGAGTGAACTACAATTTTCAAAAAATGTTAAGAGAAGAGTTTAATGTATGTTGTTTTCTTTATTTATCAAAACAACCACATATGTGATTAATATAATAATACTCAGCAGGAGTAATAATACATTTGAAGGTCAAAATTTTGATGCTAATGAAATTAATTACTGCATGCTTATACATGGAACTGGATGGCAAAGGGATAAGGAAGAGTACTATCTTCTGGGATGTGACATTGTGTAGACTCATTAGAAGTTTACTGATGTTCTAGAGGAATGTACTACATCTCAAATATTGCTAGGCTTCTATGAGACTATACAGTGTCACATACCAGAAGATAGTACTCTTAATAGTCACCCCTTTGAGCACATCAAATCTTATAAATGATGATGTGTTTGTAAAACTGTACATTTTGCTACTAGCATCTACATTATATAGTAAAATTCACAACAGAGGTTCACTGAGGTACAACAGATATGAATACTAATCGGGGGGGGGGGNATAAATGGGGGATATTTACATTTGAAATTCTTGATTTGTGATCACTATAACTGAACTTTTAAGGAGGGACAATTTAGAACAAAGAAACAGTGGACAAAGATTACTTCCTTCCATAAAGAAAATAAAAGACACACTTATAATGAACAGCGATCATATCATCACCTGAATTTCAATATAAGAAACACACCTAATTTACCTGTGAGAAACTAAGAAGCAAGCCTTGGACAAGAGCACTCAACTCTCTCTGAGCATTGCTGTTTTCAAGAAGTGGGGTCTCTCTATGTTCTCCCAGCAACACAGACTCCTTTACAAGCTGTACTACCTCTTGTACCTTGCTTTCAAATTGTGATGGCTGCAAATAAAATACAAAATTTACTCACCTATAGGCAAGCACTGCTTTAAAAAGCTATGGGTAAAGGGGGGCCAGCACGTAAGGCTGACAACCTTTCCACCATCTATGAGATGATTGTCTATAAAATGTGGGAACCGCAACATCTCACAAACCTATGGGCCTCCACGGCCTGTTACAGGGATACCTTTACTTTTACTTACTGATACAATGACTTCACTATAGATGAAGTCATCAGATTTTCACTACCTAGCAGCACGCTGCTCATCTTGTATATAAAACCTATGTTGTAAAAGCCATGCCAACCTGAAGTTTCTTCAGATAACCACACCATAATTCCATACGTATCTGAGGCAGCATACTACAGAAATTGCGTCACTGACACTCTTCCATTTCCATGTCTAATAAGCCAGATCACATCACTACACCATATTTATTCAAACATAAAATGAACCTTTTCCAAGAAACATCATTTTAAAAATCACTGTGTATAATTAGGGGCATTTTATGACACTATCAGCGTTACTGACATTTACATACTGACAGTCTAAATACAATAAGACAATGAGTAGTCAGTAGAGAAAGAGATGTGCATACTCTATGCCACACCTAAATTCTTTCAAACAAGAAATATGAGTGATACAAGAGAAGCTAAATATTGTAATTCTGAGCAAACTGCAAAATGAGAGTACTAATATTACGAACTCAATATCTTATACAAGCAAAGACTCGGTGTCCATGAAAAAATGATACAGCAATGCCTATAATCTTCATTTGAATCAAAATATAATTAATCAGAACCAGACTCTGCAATATTGCACCATTTACTGAAACAAGAAGAGTAATACTGTTGTGCTTGTAGTCTCCAAATTGTTTCAGAAACATAAATGGTCCAATGAAGAATCTAAAATGTTAGGAAAATCCAGAGGACAAAAACTGCAGCAACAAAAATGGGACAATGCACCAGTGACGGTAATATTAAAAAGGTATACTTCATTCACACACAATACCTGTATGCTCTCTAGGTGTATACAGCATTTTCCCAAAAGGATGTTCTAGTTTTAATTGTATGTATAAGGATTGTTCTAATGACACCCATTTGGGGACTGTTCTCAGTGATGGAGCACAGGCCTATAAATAATCCTCATGAGTGCTGAGGCAGATATCCCACTGATGCCACAGCCAATGGATCCCCTCCACAAAGAACTCCTTCTGCTCCTTCTGGAACCATTTCGCCATCTTGGCATCTTCATTTGATTAGAATCTATAGCCCTTTAATACTTCAGTCAGGGGCCGAACATGTGAATGGGTTTCATTTGAACAACCTTCATAGTTACAGAAATACATAACAAATGTAATTTATTACACTACAGGGAAATATGGCTATCAAAGCTACCATATCGAGTTTCAATGAAAACGATTTCATAGCCTGGATGCTGTTATTTGTGAAAAGACATGACAGAACTAATTGGAGGTTTACAAAATGTTTTGTTGTAACTAAGAGACTAAGATGAGAAGAAATGTCTTACCACTGCTTCCCACCAGTGAATAAAATTTATAGAATGTCAATAAAAATTAAACAAAATGTAACCTTAATTATTGAAGTTCCTTAACATGTCAACAAAATTAAGATTTAGTAACCCAGGTTCTGGATTTACCACTTTTTGCTGTTTCACAGCAGTACATTATCAGCATACAGGAAACTTACCAAGGCAGTAATGCCACCATGCTTGCTGTCAAATTCTATTTTCCAAGTTTCCATTTTGTGTAGGGATTTAACATGTTCTGATGCCTGTTGGAACAAAGTGCTCATACAGTGTACCCTGGAACAGTAAGATAATGTATCAGATTTGGCAGTTTCTAGGAGATAAATATGTAAACATTTTCCAACCAATGCACATCCAACAATAGAAGGGCATTCACTGCTAGGTAACAAACTATTAACACATGTCACAGCATCGAATGCACAACAACAGGTCATCCACTGTTAGGCAATGCATGGGTGGACACACCTGACAACAATACATGATATCTGTAGCTGAGCAGTTGATGTGTTTTCTGTGGGTGGTTCATGCCGAGCCTATACAGGAAGCAGTGAAGATTGTTTGAGAGGACTGTCAGAAAGATGTCGTGCAAGGCAGTTCAGCAGTTGTGTTAACCTTGAGAGAGTTATAACTGTTTGTGTGTCACAGATACAGTGATCTTGAAAGTGTAATAATGGATTGTAGTTACAACATGTGAAATTATCAAAATAATCGAGTTATCAGATCCAGAACTCATTACTTATTGTTGCACTGCCAGAATATATGTGACAATAACATCTTCCGTGCATGCTAAATTTTTATGTGCTACGTTCTGTGGATGTAAATGAAGTAGTACATTAATTGAGAAGAATGTGATCAGGCATATATTCCTTATTCCAAATAGAATTAACGAGTTTATAGATCTCAGACTGCAATGTTTCAGCCCTTGCTTGACTCAGTTCTGCCAGAATTTGATCACTACCTGGGGAATTATACCTTTTCAACTTTACAGTAGCAATTTCAACCTCAAAAGGGCTACAATCAGGTACTAATGGCTCAGCTGTATGTATTTCTCACTGCCAAACATCACTGACCCTCTGTACATTCAATAACTGAGAGAAGAAGTTCTTCCACGTATTCAAAATGTTGTCGGAATCCGCAACCAGATCATCATTTTCGTCCTTCAGTAAGTTACTGCTAGATTGGTAATCCTTCTTAAATTTATTCATTCCTCTATACAGATCTCTTAATGTTCTTGTTCTTACTGTTCATTGCAAGCTCATTGTGTCTTTCAGATATTTCCTCTTTTATTCCTGAAATTCCTGCTGGCTTCATGTCTTATACTGTTCTGTTTATCCCCATTAATTTAGCTTGGGTCCTGTAACCAATGCAATTTGGCTTATTTCCTTATGTCTAACAATCCTGAGCATCTTTCATCAAACCATGGCTTATGCCATGGACTATGCAAACCATGGACTATCTCTGGCAAAAATTTTGATATCCTCTCCAATAGTTTTGAAAACTCTATTAATATCCACCTCAGCATCTAAGTTTTCCAAAGCTGTGAACTTATTTCTCACTCCCATTTCCACAGATGCTGGTTCAGTGCCACCTCTATCCCATCTGACTTGTACTCCCAATATATCTAACTTATATTTTGGTATTTCTTTCAAAACTGTCATGAGCAAATGTGCCCTGTACATGTATATAAATAAACATTATTCATATAAATGGAAAACTAAACAGCATAATTATTAATTTACAGTTTTTGCTAGCCTCATCAAATATAAAGAAGCATTTAAAGTAAGGTAGGATCACAAGTTATTCTCTTAACTTCTCATTGTTTTGTATATAAGAAATCATGCAAAGTAAACATTTTTATATATAAAGAATATTAAATAAAAAGCATGATTACAAAGTGGTAAAAACACTTAATCCTGAAGAGACAATCACTTGACATAACTATAGAAAAGCGACTACTAACCCTTGTATAATATTTGATCTTCCATCAGATCATACATGTCTTCCTTAATCAGATAATTGTTTTTTTTCCCCCCAGAAACAAATTAAACATATATTTTCTTTCTCAGATTTACTCACCGTAAATCAAATATGAGGATGGCTACTATATCCAGTGCTTCACCTGGGAGATCAAGTCTTATCAAAGAACTGTATGTGGATCGTACATAACGGAGGCAGCGAGGAAGCCATGGACCAACCCCTTCCATCCCCTGGCTAGGCCATGTCCCATATGTCTGTCGTTGTATGGACATTCGATCCAGTGTGTGTGGCAAGACCGCAGCACGCAATAGTCCCGAAAACAGCTCAATTGTTGTCAGTACCATCCTCTATAAACCAATATTGATTCAGCAAGAAAAAATACTACTGTCATATCAAACTTAACAGAATGGAGTGCAACAGGGACATGCTATGGACTGAAATTTTCATGCCACCAAGTGTACAATCTACAGTGTACACTGATTCTTAATTCCTGTTTCTGTCACAGCAAGCATGGTAAAGAAAAGGGATGTGTTACTGTGAAATTTTCATTATCCACAGTAACTGGGTAGAGAAGTAGCACAGATCATTAAAAACAATGGATAATCCAAATAAAAGCTGTCTCTGTAACAGGCCGTGAAGGCCCATAGGGTTGTGAGATGTCGAAGCTCCCATATTTTGTCTAGACAATCAGCTCACAGATGGCAGTAAGGTTGTCAGCCTTACGTGCTGGTCGTCCTTTACCCTCAAGAATATTCCTGGTACTCATTTCTGTTAGAGACTGAGTCGACCCCAGGGCCATAGTGAGGATGGAAGGATTAGGTAAATTGAAAAGATCCACCTCATTGGGACTTGAACTCACACCCTTCCAGCTTGTAGCATAGTGACTCAACCAACTACCCTACCGCGTGCCCCCACATAATCCAACCATTGCCTTACATTGGTGTACTTAGAAAGCGCTGCACTCGAGTATAGTTTTTTAAGTTACCAGCAGTACTTGGCAGATAATGCTTTCAGTGTGGGAAATGTGGCTCTATCACAGAGTAAGAAAATATATTAGTGGAACAAACATTCTGTATGAAGAACTTGGGTCGTGCTTTAGTGAAGTTTTAGCAAAGGAAAGTTAGATTTCATTATTTAAATATTCATTTCCTATATCCAAAGAGAAAGCAAATGAACTGAATACAAATATACAAGTGGACTGACAGAATTCAAATACAGAACAATACAGCTTGGAGAACTTCCTACAATTCCTACAGCAAATGACACTACCTACTTCTGGAAGTTATTGCCTTATGAAAACGTCTTGAATATCAGTAAGTTTGTGCAGTGATCCATTTGCTGTTTTGCAAGTACTTATCTCTGTGAAAAAGCCATCAGCTAAATAAATAAAGGTCAAACAGTGGTCATTTTACAGATTTTAACATTAAAATCTATATGACTTTTACAACAAGAGACAGGCTGGAGTGAGACATAGACAAAACATTTAACAATGCTGGTACTAAACTGTCTAATTTAAAATTATTTTGGTTTTAATATGCAAACATACGAATTACCTGATGTGAAGTTGTGAAATTCTACCTACATATATACACTTGACTCAGTGGCACATCACATACCCTTACTGGTCTTGATGTTCATGCATTACAGAAACAAATCTCTTCTTGCCTAATCACAGTGAAAAAATCAGAAATAATTTTCTCTTGTATTTTATGAAATCATCATATTGAAAGTAAACAGTGTAAATCTCAATGAAATCTACATTTAAATTCTGGAGCAACTGTTTGTATAATCAGTTGATAGAGAAAACAGGTAATATTTGATTTATCCTTGAAATAACAGTAATAGAAACCAAAACTGAGTATATAAACACGCAAATTTCAATGAAATACTTTCAGAAATGAAAATTAAAGGTGGTTAGCCACAACCTCCTCATTATGTGCTCATTTTATTCAGTTTGTAAAAGCACGCATAAGAATAATCTATTATAGCTAGCCTGTAATGATATTCTTCTGTAGTCTCTCTTGAAAGAATCCAAAGTGCCATAACTTCTCCTAAATTACATACAAAATTACGCATACTTCAATTTTGAATACATGTATTTATTTATAGTTGTTCTTATGCAGTTGTCTTTGGAGCATAAATCAAATGGACTTTTGTAAACTTAACTATAAAATTAAGATTAAATTTTTGGTGTTTATATCTACATAACACTGATGAGTACATCAACTTAGTACTTACACAATACATGAAAATACACAGAAAAATGTACCTTGAACTGAGCCTGCCTGCTTGGCTCAACCCTAACATTCAATTCTCCGCTGAAATAAGCTTGTCCCAGTTTCCACAAATCTGGAAACCTATTCGACACAATTTGTGTCAGCTCCTCCACAAACAGCACCCTCTGAGGAACTGAACTCAGCCATTCCTGGGGTTGTGAGTTGTTATTGTTTTTGGTTGACTTGCCAAACTTGTGTGATAAAGGAGTTGATTGCAGGCCTGACTTAGATGTTTTACCTGAAAGGAATTTCATATCAGAACATGTTAAAAGAATAAAGGTTACATGACTTCAATTAAACAAATTTATAATATGTAGGTAAGTCAATAAGTAAGTTGCAAATGGATATAGAACTTAAACAAATAAGAGTACTGATTTAAAAAATGCTTTTATTTCTCAACGTAATCTCCCTGTACATTGGGGCACTTGTCCATCGTTACATAAGCCCCTGAAAACCAGCAGCATAAAATTCTTTGGGCTGTTGTCAGAACCAGGCAGTGACTTCGCTTTACAGGGAACATTTACAGCCTGAGGATGTTACAGTAGGAATCGGCATTTATGTAACTTCCAACTCCTACTACATCCTCAGGAAACTTCGTAAGGCCATTCAACAGAAGCGACCATGACTCCTCACCAAAGGCGTGTTGCTCTTGCATGACAACGCACGTCCCCATATGCCAACAAGATAAATGAGACGCTGCAAAATTTCAAGTGAGAACTCCTCGAGCATCCTCCGTATAGCCCCGACCTTGCTCCAAGTGATTTCCATTTGTTTGGCCCTCTTAAACATCATCTTTCGGCTGAACATGTTCCTGACAATGAAGCTGTAGAAAGGGAAGTCACCACCTCGTTCCAACAGCAGACCAAAGAAGTTTATGCTGCTGGTTTTCAGGGGCTTATGAAACGACGGGACAAGTGCCTCAATGTACAGGGAGATTATGCTGAGAAATAAAAACATTTTTCAAATCAGTACTCTTATTTGTTTAAGTTCTATATCCATTTGTAACTTACTTATTGACTTACTCTCGTATATATAATTCAGTTCTTGACCCTGGAGCGGTTTGTTTATTTATACATATGCCGAGAAGTAATACAGCCATGGGTTATACTGTTACCTAACATTCAAATATAAGACTGTTGTGAAGCAGTAGGTACAGCACCGCTGCACAAAACGGTCTTACATTTTTCACAGATTTTCAACTGGCAGGAACAGGCATACAGGCACTGTGTGCAGTTATTAATATACTGTATTCTTCCCATAACCTTTTCAGGCTCTCCAATATCATACCATCAATATAAAGTCCATTGAATATTCAAGTGAAAGTCTTTACATCTGCTATTGTATAAGGGTTAGTGTATCTGTTTAAATTCTCCTTTGCCATTGACAGTCATCCAAAGATTGCTAAGGTAAAAAGGTAAAGCTCTCCCTGTAACAGGCTGTGGGGGCCCACTGGGTTGTGAGAAGTTGAGCCTTCCACTTTCTATACAATTGGCTCACTGATGGTGGTGAGGTTGGCAGCCTTACATGCCAGCTGCTCTTTACCCCCAGGAATATTCCTGGTACTAATTTCTCTTAGAGGCTGAGTTGACCTCAGGTCCATAATGCAGCTGAAAGAATTAGGTCAACTGAAAACATAGGCGAAAACTTGTTTCGTTTTTTCCGGTAACAATCATAAATGTAAACAAGTAAAGGTATCCAACTTAACAGTAGAAAAACAATCATGGTAAAATGGTCTTGGTATATGACTACTACTATATCAAATTAATCTAAAATTTCCATAAGTAAGTAAAGCTATCCCTGTACCAGGTCATGAAGGCCCATAGGGTTGTGAGACGTTGAGGGTCCCACACTATCCAGACACTCGGCTCAAAGATGGCAGTAAGGTTGTCAGCCTTACGCGTCGCCTGCGCTTTACTCCCCAGGAATATTATTTAATTATTGTTAGAGGCTGAGTAAACCCCAAGGCCTAGTGCGGCTGGAAGGGTTAGGTAAACTGAAAAAAATCCAATGACCTCATCGGGACTTGAACCCGTGACCTTCCGGCTTGTAGCATAGCTCCTCAACCATTACACTACCGCGTGCCCCCATCTAAAATTTCCATACTGCTGAGAAACACATTCACCAGTTCATGGTATAATTTCAAATTAATCTAAAGTATACATACTTCTGAGAAACATTCGCCAGTTAATGCTACGCTTAATTTAATTCTGTTTGCCTGTTATTTAAAATTCATCTCTTTCATTAGATCAATTTATCCTATCCATTGGGATCTAATATAGGAATGGATACACAGTTCATACATAAAACATAGAAATCTCATTGAATTCCTCCTAATTTTACATACAATTCATAATTATGTAACTTTCCGTCTCAGCAAATCTTAGCATTTTGTGACATTTCTGCCTTAGTCCACTATAATGACATTTGCAGAGTGATACTCTCAAATCAAAAGTATAATTTGAAGAAAAGTATATAGTTTGTTTGTAACGATTACATTTCTCAAGCTTTTAACAAATTATTGGAGCAATCTGTAACACTTTCAGTTCTACTTCATTCATTGACATTTATCACTAACTTTGTAGATACTTTTAAATTATAATGATAACATTAGTGGAAGTGAAAATCAAAATACTAAAACAAAATAATTTGGTGGATACTTACTTGTATCTTCTCCAGCTGCAATTTCTGCCGCAATATGTTCATCTCTACACGAAGTGAGTCGCTGAGAAATGAATGTAGAATGACAGGATATTCCATCCCATGCTGGGTCACCTGTTGCTTCTAAATTCACCAAATTTCTGAACAAAAATAATATCTACTTCACACTTGAAATAACAAAGTTACAATAGTGAAAGACATTACCAAACATTTCACCTGTCTGAGAAAGAGCGACAAATGTAGGAGAATAAGAGTTAAATAAAATGTTATCAGAAAGTGGAATGACTCTAAAAATACATGGGTAGGCTGAAAAGTAATGCACGCATGCTTGTAGAGCGCGAACAAAAACAAATAGCAAGATCGGGCAAAAAGTACATTAAAGTACAATTCTTAAGTTTCAAAAGCATATATTTATTTTTCAACATAGTCACCGTTAAGGCTAACACTTTTATCCCAACGCGTAACAAGTTTTTCATTCCGTCACTGAAAAATTCTTCCGACTTTTCTCGAATCCAGGACTTGACAGCTGCCTTCACCTCATCGTCCGAGGTGTAATGATTACCCTTGAGGTCTCTCTTGAATAGAGGAAAAAAATAAAAATCGCAAGGTGGAAGATTGGGGGAATAAGGAGGGTGTGGAATCGGTTCAAACTTCAGGTTTCGCATAGCCTCTTCAGTTGTGCACGAGGTGTGTGCACAAGCGTTGTCATGTTACAAGATTATTGGCGCCAGGCTGCCTCTAACACGACAAACTCGATGCTGGAGGTGTTTTAGAGTCTGTATGTCTGAGAAGAATTTACCGTTGCCCCTCGTTCCAGAAAATCGGTCACATAAACTCGGTGAGCATCCCAAAACACAGTCAAAAGAAGTTTTTTGGCGGATGGTTGTGTTTTGAACTTTTTCGCCTGAGGAGAAGACGGATGTCGATATTCAGCGCTGTCTTTTCTCTTCCGGGTCGTAACGATGGACCCATGACACTTGTCCCCCGTCACAATATTCAAAAGAAAGTTGTCTCCTTCATCACAGTAGCGCTGCAAAAGTTGCTCGCAGCATTCAAATCGACGCCGTTTGTTCTCGTCTGTGAGACGGCGTGGTACCCATCGTGCACAGATTTTACGGTATCCCAGTTGTTCAATAATGAAGCCGACACGTTCCTTGGATATTCCAATATGGTTTGCGATACGCTTTTTAGTGATTCGCCGGTCATTTTGAATCAAATCGTCGAAGAGTTTGCGATGATTATCGTCTGTCGCAGTGATCGGACATCCGCTGCGTGTTTCATCAACAATTATGGCTTTTCCAGGCTCACAACCACGAAATTTTATTACCCATCAATTTACAGTAGACCTATCAACAGCATCATCACCATAAACAGCCTTTAAATGACGATTAATCTCAGTAGGAGTCACTTTTTCAGCAGTTAAAAATTCGATAACAGCACGCTGTTTAACTCGCGTTGACATAGCACTAGAACACGTCTCCATACTTCCGCTTCTCGAAATACACTGGATGAATGCAACGACCTCAAACCTGCGCATGCATATTGAGGGGGAATGTTACTTCCACATGCCACCTGGTGCGCTTCTGAAGGTCATTTCATTCGCGCTCTACAAGCATGTGTGCATTACTTTTCACCCTACCTACGTAATTTATCAAAATGTATCATGTTACAGTATAAAAAAATAATGTTCTAAAGCCAACTTTCATTTTGTTACATATTCAGTAAAATAACAGACACAAGAACATCCTAGTCTCTGCCTCTATAGCAAGGGTGAAGATAGCAATCCACATTTTAGAATTCCCTTACAACAGGACGTATATATAGCCCATAATTACAGAATGTTAGTGAAAATGAAGATAATGATTGGCAGAGGGGATCAAGAGCTTAACATGGTATCCAAACAAAAGTGGGTGTCTGGTATGGCAAGAAACATAGTAGCAAGGAGTATTCACTCCAGAGTTTGTCTCTTAAACTCTTAGGGTACGGCCTGAGTGCGGCGGGGTGTGGGCAACTTTATGGCAGGGATAGCAGTGGGCCGCTGCTGTGTCCTCAGTGCACCTCTAGCGTTCAGCGTTTATATCCTCAAAAGACATCTTCCAAACGCTCCAAACACTATTGAAACACAAACTGGTTTGACCTGCACGCTGCCCGCTCTGCTCAAAACGCTCGGTCCCAGGACATGCCAATATATTCAAATGGGTTTGTGATGCACGCTGCACGCCCCACCCCGCCAAACGCTCCACGCCCCGCTGCACTCAGGCCGTACCCTTACACACTGATAGAGTGGTACTGCACAGGACTGCACAAAGTCTGAGCACTTTGCAGGGTCTAAGGTTCTCAGAGCTGTGGTTATGAAGAGCACCATCTTCTGGGATATAAGGCCATGCAGTCTGTTGATAGTTAACCAGTGTTTCAGAGGAACATGTCTCTTCCATCTTCACAGTTGAAGAATAAGCCAAGCAAGAAACCAGAATGAAGCAGGCAGGTGCTACATTTTAAGTGCCATGGCAACCTGGTACCCAGAACAGTTCTATTTTCTGGGATATAATGCCACGTAGTCCACTGAAAGGTAACCAACATTTCAGAAGAACATGTTGCCCCCTTTTTTAGGGCTGAAGAAGCCAAACATGAAACAGCTTTAGATGCCTGATGCTTACTAGTTTCTTGATGGTTCCTTGCTCTGTTTACTCTTTGACCCTTGAGACAGAGGCAATATATTCTTCTGAAACACTGGACCTTTTCCAAATTGAGTGACATTACAACCCAGAAGAATGTACTCTTCATAGTCATCATAGTGAGAACTCGATACTAACTGCCTTTACCTTATAATTTTCTTCTGTTCTTCGAGAGTTGATGGCATATCCTGCAGCTTACTGTGTAAAATTTCTCTCAATCTGCTGATTCGTTGTTCAACTTCTACCAGAACCTTCTTGAAAATCTGAAGAAACAATATTTCAAACTAAATGTATAACGGTTAAGCAGAGGGAAGTTCTTTACTGCTTCTGAGGCTTGACACCCAGTATTAGCACTTTTTTGGTGTAGAACTATCCAGTGATCCTGGTTCACAACATCTGAGAACCATGCTATATAAACAGATAATTCAATAAGTTCTGGGAGGAACTTTAGATGCCTACTGTCCCTCACATGCTTCAGTCGATACAGCAAGGCTAGCATGAACCATAAATAACTATAAAATCCAGTGATTGATTTTTGTGGCTAATTTCCATTAATACAAATTTCAGCCACATTAAATTTGCCCAACATAACCTAAGTTTTGCATTGTCATCATGTTTGTAGTGTTACCTTATAAAAACTTTCATACCGAATTTGTAGGTATATTTATTACCTATCTTCATACAAAACTTCACATTACTACCTCCAATAGTCCATCACTTATTTCTGTCAAACTGACAGCAATCCTCATATTTTACATGGCTGCTGTGTAGTGTTTTACATTTTTGAAAGAAAGGTATTATCAAAGCCTACATATTTCTTGGAGACCACACAAAATTTCAGGATCAAACGTTAAGTAGCAACAGCCAACTCTCATATCATGTGTTCACGCAGCCTTGGTGTTCTTACTATTGATGGCAAGAAATTAAAAAGTATATACATTCAATAGTCACTAGTGGTACAAAGTTCACACTACGTTTCTTGAAAATTTGCCAGTTGATTCAAAGGTTATTAAGGAGGTGTTGGAGTCATGGATATCATCTTGATCATTCACTGTAAAGCTGTCCTTGTGCATAATTAGTTAAGCACTATGCCATGAAGACATACTGAGAAGTGGAGGTATAGCTCCACCATTCTTGACCTCAGTACTAGATGGTGATGACTGATCAGTTTCACACCCCAGCTGCTTTAACTGTGATAACCTTTTGACAGGAGACTGGGTGGGCCCCAGAACAAGTCTGGACACCGAGGAGATAAAAATTTGTACCCTTATCAGAAACTGAACCCTTACCATCCAGCCCTCAGGCTGTCACTAAACTGAGTTAACTTCACTCTTATGGAAAGCTTACAAGAATTACTTTAAATCAATACAGGCACACACTGCATAGCAGAGACATAGGCTTTAGTAGAAGACAAATATTTAGAATCCAGGCAAGTAGAATTAAACTTCTGTGAATATCCACTGAAGATTAACAGCAATGCAAGTGGATGTTGAAGTATCATAAGTAAGATTCAATTTTGGAAAAGCCTAATAGTAAAAGTTAGCGAGAGTTACAAACAGACATGTAAGGCACAAAATTAAAATGGATAAAACAGGGCATTTTGGAAAGAAATGCATTCAAATAGCTGTTCAGTTATGTGAAACAAATGGAGAGTGACTATTCAAAATCATGATGACTGGATTAAGTGAAGCTGAAAAGGCTGAACACTTTTTTTTTTTCAAATGCAACCCTCAGAAAGGTAAATGAGCTACAAATAATAAAAAAGAGAACACACTCACAGCAACATCAGTATTACTGAACAGGTTTTTGGCACGTGCATAGTCATTTATCACAACATCATAGTCTCCTTTCCGAATATTGCGCTCAATGCTCACAGGTAAGCTGAATAGGAACTTAAACCTCTGCAGCACTCCTAGAGCATTTCGTGTGGCATCAGCACGATCCCGTCTTGCCAGGACCTCATCAAACAGCTTGTTTGCCTCTAGCACAGATTCTGAAATACAGATACAGTGCATAAACTACTATATTTATTTCTTTATTTATCTGCAAGTTAGCAAGTTTCTACACATATTACATATTAAAGTACATAATGAAACCACACTTTATTCTCTTAAGCTGTGTGTGAGTGTGATTCTATAACTGGACTGAATTGTGAGTTGTTCAGCAATGACCACATCAGTAAAAGAAACCAGATCAATAAGCTGATATGCATATCAAACAATATTCACAACATGAACAATGTCTATTCTGAACTGACAACTTACACACTTATTACTATATCATCAGTCAAGAAAAAATATCACATACATAATCAAAATTATATGGATGAAAAAGAATTACTCATCCCTTAATTATTTATGTTTTCAGATTACCTTGAATTGCCTTTTCCACTTTTGCTGTTGGATCAGGGCCATGTTCTTTCATATCACTTTCAAATCTATCTTTCAAGATCATAAGTGTGTCTAACTGGTCCATTACTGAGCCTGCATTTGCCTGCCAAAGACAAAAACAATCATTAAGAGCAACATATGAGCTGAATTACAAATCAACCAATCTTCACACAAAATGAGCCATCATTACTTCAGACAATTTAAAGGTAATTTGAATAAGGTCCATGTATTTATTGTCTGTCAATACTGCAACACTTGTTTATTCACTACTTAATTTTAATTTTAGTTTAACATTATACACTTTGACACTACATGTTTCGGCTCCAAAAGGCCATCTTCAGGTGTCTTGATATGTTATAAATATTTTATTAAATTATGTTAAAACTGCTACACTGTCTCAGTCCATGTTAAAATCACATGCTGTAGTTCTCTTTTCAAGGTAAAACCAGATAAAATCCTTTAAAGTTTCTATTATACCCACGTTATTTTGGTGCATTTTATTTCACCTCACATGGGATGTCGTCCATTGTTCATAAATGTATGTCTGTCCAGGGTGTTTTGTTTCAGCAGCTTGCCCCTCACATCTTTACTAGTAAAGACAACACCAGACGCTGGGGAAGAACACGCAAACCAGGGGCATATGGCAGTCATAACTGAAAAGTAGGCTACAAACGTGAGGGGCAAGCTGCTGAAACAAAACACCCTGGACAGATATACATTTACGAACAATGGACGACATCCCATGTGAGGTGAAATAAAATGCACCAAAATAACGTGGGTATAATAGAAACTTTAAAGGATTTTATCTGGTTTTACCTTGAAAAGAGAACTACAGCATGTGATTTTAACATGGACTGAGACAGTGTAGCAGTTTTAACATAATTTAATAAAATATTTGTAACATATCAAGACACCTGAAGATGGCCGTTTGGAGCCGAAACATGTAGTGTCAAAGTGTATAATGTTAAACTAAAATTAAGACTAAGTAGTGAACAAACAAGTGTTGCAATACTGACGGATGATAAATACATGGATATTAAGTTAAACAATTGCAACAGGATGCTGAAATACAGAATTGTAATTTGAATACTTAACATATTCTTGAACACAACTGAATTTTGATAATCTGAATTCTAACCTACATAATCCCCTAATTATGTGTACTGATGGAAGTAATAATCCTTTGTGAAAATCTATCTGTTATTGTTAATATGGGAGGAAAAGAAGAGAGAAACTTGAAAACTCTTTTCCCAGCAAAACTTCATAAGCATGCCTGTTGCCATTAGTGAACACAGTTCTTTCCTGCCCACTTATGGTTATATTGTCCTTCTGGCCCCTTTACCTTTTAAGGACCAGGTGACAAAATGGTACTCTTTGTCTAAGCTAATTGGTTATGTTCTGAAATTTCTTCTTTGTATAGAGGAATGAGTACGGTGAACAGATAATAAAATGAAAACTATTCATCTATAAAAGAATAAGAACTACAATTTAAGGACTCAAGAGTCTTGAACTGTCGTGCCACTTTTGGGTTAAACTTCATTATTTCAATACACCCTTAAGGACAGAAGTGTGAACGAATTTCCTACTGGAAACTTCCTGTCAATTTCTGGTAAGACAACTTATAAATTTAAAGTCACATTTATGCCTACATTTATCCTTTGGAAGCATGAAGTATAAACATGTATGATCATGTAATAAAATTATATACACCTTTACAACATGTCCTTCTTCCTTACACAGTGTTTCAACAGAGTTACACTAAGCATATGATGCTTATTAAAACATTTCTTTCTAATATATGGACATACTTTCATATTCCTCCAACAAATCTGAATTTTGCACAGATTAGATATGATGGGATGGATTAAGTTATTTTCTGTTAATCTTTAGACTGGGTGTAGAGGTATAAATAGAGCACAAATTTTGCAAGCTGTCATAAGGACGTATACTAGTGTACATAGTGTGTACATAATCACAAAAATGTAAAGTTATTATAATTCATACAAATGTTCTGATTATTAATAACAATTTTAAGTATTGTAACTTTATTCTCTTATTGTAATCAGCCAATGTACAGTAACTGACTTGTCCTATATCATGTAACAATGATCTATAGAGATGAAATAAATATATAAACATTTTTAAAATACATACACCATAATTTCTCCAAGAATAAATGCTTGCTAACAATCTGAACATGTCACTGACTAGTATTTATTGATTATATTTTGTAGGAGCCTCACTTTCAGGAAGGAGAGTTGTCCCTCTTTTTGGCCATCAACCTTCCGACGTAAGAAAGCAAGACCAGCTCGCAAATCATCGAATGTTGTTGCATGATGATGCTCCAGCAGAAACCAGCCAGCTACGAACTGCTCTGACACCAAATCACCTGAGCCCTCAGGAAACAGTTCATGTAGGTCATCTTCTGGGAACTTCTTACTGTGACAAATGATGATTATTTAGAATTATGTGAACTTAATATGCATCTTTCCAATAATATAAATATATTAACTGCATACTCATTCTCCTCTATTGAAAGACCAAGTGGGTCTTCCTGCTGATAGCTTGTAGGAGACAATGATCGACGTCCCCAAGCAAGAGTCTGCAAGGGTGCTTCCTCTACCCATACAGCACTCTCTTTCATTGGCCCAATGGTCTCATGGTAGCCTGAGCAAAAACACAGAAAAAGAACGTCGTATTCAATTCACATTTAATGTACAATAAAGCTTAATAACCTCAAATGATGGCCTGTAACATACCATTCAGTATCCAATAGTCATACCTCGGAACTGCACTGTAGATGTTCCTCTTCCTCCATAACGAGTTGTGACAATAATATCTCCCCGACCCTTTCCTGGCCCAGATCGAGCAATAATTTTGTTTGGGGATTTCCATTCTGCTGATAGTAAACAGTCACAGCCGCAAATAGTCAATCCTTGAAGATCAGTTGGCCCGGTACCCAAAAATTCACCTCTGACAGTAACACGAGTCCCTGGAGGTCCTTCTTTTGGGGATACTCCAGTGACAACGGGCGGAGGCCCCATTTCTCAGGTGCACGGCTAATATTTTATGAAATGTGTCTGTCAGGTTCGCTAACAAAATACTAGTTTTAATGCACAAAATATACACTCCATTTTTAACACTATAAGCATATCGTAAACACTTCACAGCGGCTACATCACTGGCAAAACAATTAAATCACATCAGAAAGCAACACATTTTGAAATGTCAAAGCTAGTGATCAAATTTACACTTGTACAAGCATAGTTATTTAGGAGGCCATGAAATTGACAGCTAGACACTGAACAAAGTAACGGCCGAAGTAGAGCGCTATTGAAGCTATTATTCGTAGTGTTGGTAGCAGTGTCTGGGACAAAAAGGGCGGTATCACAGTTCATGGAATGTGAATGACTACAGCAGGCTGTAAATACTCAATAAGTACAAAGGCTACGCGCCGCGTGATATTTCACAGGTATGAATCTACAACATTAATAATTTTTTTTTGCTTGACGACGATTTATAGATTCTTCTTACTTATTTCTTTTCTCCCACTTTTACACTGCAGTTTAATTTACTTTTCACTTTTTCGTGTTCTTGGCACTTAGATTCTTTCCTATTCACATACGTCTATTACCAGCAACATTACACTTTAAAAAGAATATAGGTATTTCTGTCAAAGATAAGTAATTAATTTTAAAATAAATATAACTCAGTTATGAAAATAAAATTTATATAAATGAAAAACAGAAAATTTCACACCGTGACGATGTAATAGATGCATTTACAATTCACAATGACCTAACAACATCTCCCAAAATTTTTCAATTAAAGGCCCATTTTGCTTTAAGATATGTTGGAATTATTTCTAAAAGAAAAAGCACTAAAGAACAAAAAAAAAATACACGCATTTTTGCCGTGATTTTCTTAAATTAACAGGTAGAACAGTTCTGTTTCCCCAGTCGAAAATTCGCATTTCGATCCTGAATATATTAACATTTAATAACAACGGAGTAATTTATGTACAAGCTTTCTAATGGTACACTCATATCGGTATATCCGATTCTCCAATTAGGCAATACATGTGAAGCCCGTTTTTGAATTATGTAACTCAATATATGAGATAGTTCTAATCTAACTGAAAATTAACTCTTAATCAACTCGATATAAGTAATATTGTGGCATGTCTGCAGTAAGCCATAATTGTGAGGACATCAGAGACAGCCGTTGCTAGGGAACGGATCTTCAAACAATGACCCTGTAAATGTTGCGTGACAGCTGGTTGCCGCGGCGAGAGACGCGACACAAAAATAGAGCACTGTCAGGGACATTTATGCTTGGAATATCAGGGACTCTATGATACGGTTTGTAAATCACTTGTCTGAAACAATATACAGTTCATCGACACTATTTTTAAAGGTATCTTAGAACAGCCTTTTTCAGCCCTTTATTGGCTCATGATTCCTCATTTTCAACACTCTTTTTCTAAATATTTCAAAGAGACGTTCCATGTACTATAACTTTGTAACATAACTGTATACCCTCGATACATGTAATACTGAGTTTTCACTACTGGCAGACTCCGTCTACCAAAGAGGATTTAAATAACAATGAAACATCAAACTGAAACTAGGAGTATCGTTTCAAGTACTGAAATAAACGTGTCCTGTTATTCATGCATATTCATTGACTTGCAATAAGAGTTTTCATTAAAGTTTTGTTCCAATAGAATACACTAACAAGGAAGATAATTGGTCAACGCGTAAATAATGATTAATTATCGATGCAGTATTCAATTTTTTTTAATTCGCTTAGTGGGGGGTGGAGTCCAACTGGGTCCACTCGGCAGGGCGGCCACTGATTGGCCTATTGTAGCATGCCCCGGGTGATTACGATGATGGACAATTTGGTGGAATGAAGATTGGCAGGAGAAACCGAAGTACTCGGAGAAAAATCGCCCCAGCGCCACTTTGTCCACCACAAATCCCACTTGACCAGACCCAGGATCGAACCCGGGCTGCCGCGGTGGGAACCAGTGACTAACCGCTTGAGCTATGGCGCGGCCTATCGATGCAGTATTACTTCATTAATTAATGAAATTAGAAGTCTCTTTCCACAGTCACAAGTAAAAGCAATAGAAATGAACGAAAGGGAAGTGATTCATTGATGCTTCGTCCTTGCAGACACACAATAATGGGATGGCAATGAAAGGGTGTGGGAATCTATACTGCATTTTACGCATCGCAGCACAAACCAGAAGGGAAATGGGTTTTAAGCAATTACAATTAGAAAAAAGGCACATGAAATTGAAGTATTATTATTGCATGGTGTCAGAATATGAAATATAATTTCAAAGTCTAATGCGATCAAATTCCTTCCTCCTAGCAAGTCTAAACGCTAATTAGAATCGAGAAAAATTTCTGACTAAAATTTTATTATGGTTATTCAGTTGTAATATCAATAAAAATTGCGGTAACACGTTTGAATTTTTCTCAGTGTGCAGATATTTTAAGTGATAATTTTATTAGTCTCTCCAAGTAGATGTGCGTAGTGGTTTATACACACATATCATATTTATATATACATATAAACTAATAAACTTCATGGAGCTGAGCCCTTCTTGAGAAGCCGCCAGTTGCGCAGCTACTCAAGATTTTCCCAGTATTTTATGGAACTCGAAGGTTTACTCCCGTGTTCGCAAGAGCTCTCCACTGGTCCCTATCCTGAGCCACATCAATCAAGTCCATACTACTCCATCCTATCTCTCTATGACCCATTTTAATATTATCCACTCACCCACGCTTTGGTCTTCCTAGTGGTCTCTTTCCTTCTGGCTTTCTCGCCAATATCCTGTATGAATTCATTTTCTCCCCATTCGCGTTACATGCCCTGCCCATCTCATCCTCTTTGACTTGGTCATTCTTACTGTATTTGGCGAAAAGTGTAGTTTATGAAGCTTCTCATTATGCAGTTTTCTCCAACCTTCCATCACTTCGTCTCTCTTCGGTCCAAATATTCTCCTCGGCACCCTGCTCACAAACATCCTCAGTCTATGTTCCTCCTTTAATATAAGAGACAAAGTTTCACATTCTTACAGAGCCACAGGCAAAAATTATAATTTTATATTTTTTATTTTTATGTTTTTAGACAGCAGACGAAAAGACAAATGGTTCTGGACTGAATGGTAGCAAGCGTCCAGTTTCTTTAGCTTAGGTCGTTTATCCAAATAATCCGTCCAGGTCCGAGGCCCTTTGTCATATTTTGTAACAAGTTTTTTTTTACGGCGAGGAGTTGTTAGCCCCACGCCCAACCCCCAAGCTGCAGGACCACCACTTGTCAGTTGTCAGCGACTACTTAGTCAATAAATTTGCAGCTACTTTCCATATTTGGAGACCGTCTTCTTCACCCACAACCTGAAGACGAAGCATGCCGTGGTGACAAGGTACCCATCTAACATGGTATATATATGTATAGTGGGGGCAAGTTTTATATATATATATCCTGCCTCAATATTAATTCTTCTCTACATTTCCCCCCCAAAAAAATGCGCTTATGAGTTTCGTACCATTCTCAAAATAAGCACGGAATATTCCCCTGATCAGCATCATCCGATTCGTCTTCGTGCTGGAGATGTAGTGTTTCCTGCAAGACGTTAATTGAATGCTTATTGTACAAACTTCATGTTTCCGAGGGTTCACTGCTAAATACGCATAAATTTTATTTATGGAACTATTTGTTATGTTGTTGGTGTGAACTATTCTATTTTTATCCTGAGCATAATTTAACTGAAAGACGATAACGGCCATTAAAACATCCTTTCTTCTTAACAAACAAGGAGATTAGATAGCCTGCCGTTTAATCCACGTTCTCTGCTATCTCTAGTCGGTATTCGATGGAGGTAAAGTATACTCAATTTAGTCCAAATAATTCTAGGAAGAAGGCAAATTTCGTTTGGTGCAAAAACCTAAGGTAGTGTTTCTATTTCTTGTATCCGGTGATTCACTGTACTTCATTCTCCTGTTTCTCCTCAGTCATCACCATCATCATCGTCATCGTCACCATCATCATCACCGTTCTTATCTCACGAATTAAGCACTGTAGTACTGCAACACCTACCAAACTTAGTATTCTCTGACGGTACGCGCCATTACGCCTACCGATATACAATGAAATCATACCGTCAAGTTTATCAAAAGTCTGAAGTCGCACACTTTCCGACACTTGTATATTTCGACCTTGAGGTTAGCATGGAAATTGAGAGTACTGGCAAATGTGTTTTCAGAAGAAGAACTTAAAGAAATTCGTCCATTAAGCTTAATACCACATTATAAAGCACTGTTGTAATCAAACTCTACAAATAATCAGCCTGCAAAATAACCATCACAGGTACAATATCTCACCGTCTGCATAAAGTAAGAAATATGAAAGATGGAAGCGGACACATCACGCAGAATTGTAATACAAAATGTCGGGGGCACGCGGTAGCGTAGTTGGTTGAGGCACTATGCTACAAGTCGGAAGGTCGCGAGTTTGAGTTCAAATGAGGTGGATTTTTTTTTTCAACTGACCTAATCCTTCCAGCCGCTCTTTGGTCCTCGAATCGACTCAGCCTCTAACAGAAATGAGTACCAGGAATCTTTCTGGGAGGCAAAGGGCGGCCGGCGCGTAAAGCTGACAACCTTACTGCCATCTGCGAGCCGGTTTTCTAGAAAAATGTGGCAGACTCGACCTCTCACAACCCTATGGGCCTCCACAGCCTGTTACAGGGATAATGCAATCTTTAGGATAGATATGCAATTATGTCTATACTATTTAACTATATGTTTCATGGTCTTCCGCACAGAGTTAATAGTTACTTAGCTGTACAAAAATTTCTTTCATTTATGGAACTCGAAGGCTTATAAAGCCCATCATTAAATTCTGTATTGAGTCAGCTCAACTTAGTCTGCATGCTACCGTTCTATTTCTCTCAGAGTAAGAGAAATCTAACGTCATCCTCCCATCTACTCTTAGATCTTAGAATGATCTCTTTCCTAGGAGATGTCCTAATAAAATCGTGCGAGAATATAACCCTTCTGCCACGCGTGCTACATGTCCCGCCAATCTAATCCTCGATTTAATCATGCTAATATTATCATAAAGCTAGTCATAATATAAGCCATACTTTTTTCTATCCTCGTATTGCTCTTACTTGGATCTAAATATTCTTCTTAACACTTTATTTTCAATAACTTTGATCTGTAGTCCTCTCTTCAGAAGAGAGACAAAGTTTCTTACGTCTGTATTAGATAACTAAAGGTAGGGCTCATTTTTTCTTGATAAGCAGAGATATTGTTTGTA